ATTCCACTTTGACAGTTCTCATTGAGTATCAGAGTGTTTTGTTGCTGTAGTTCAAATTAGCTGTTTACTTAAAATGCAAAAAAATGTATAGTGCTGCACCCTGTTGGTAAATCTTATAACTTTTTAATGCTTTTGTATATCATAGAACCAACTTTTTAGTTGAAACAGCTGACTAAATTCTTTAATTCCATTTAAATATGAATACTAATAAGGTTAACATGGGGAATTACAGAGCCACTGGGGCGGAGCCCGAGAGGATTTTTGAGATAAGAATATGCCTATATGTTAATCGGGGATGTGGGCTATCATCATGCCAAATTTCAGCCCAATCCGTCCAGTGGTTTATGCGTGATTGAACTTCAAACAAACAAACAAACAAACACACAAACTTTCACATTTATAATATTAGTAAGATAAAATTAAACTGTCATAACCTTACCAAACCAACCAAACAGGGCCGGTTTAACCCATACGCGAACTACGCGGCCGCATATGGCGCCACGAAAAAGTGGCGCCGTGGCGCCAACGGAACAATTTTTCTTTTACGTGAACAACGTAATTTTGTTTATTTTTGCTCAGAGTTCAAGTATTCAAAGCACCACAATAAAGGCATTTATTCTGTTTGTACCAACAGCACTTGAAAAATGTGTATATTTGAACAGCACTACAACTGAAGGACTCAATGCCATTTGCAGTTTCGATTTGTAGTGAGCTGACGCTCGGCAGTCGGCAGCGTACAGCGCGAGCGCGGCCTGTGGGTTTCATTTCACGACTCGCTCATGCTCGAGATAAGCAAACGCGCAGCGCCACTTGTCACGGATGGGCATACGGGAGGGACGATGGCTAAAGGTGTGGTGACGTCATATCTCTAGTGGCTATAATGTCTTCTCTTGAGGCGGCATGATTAGCGTAACGGGACAATGTGATTCCAGTGGCGTTCGTGGCATATTGATAGCGCATCGGACTAGTGATCAGGAGGTCTCGAGTTTCAAGACCCGTCGAGAGGCTGACTTTTTGTCAAAGATTTTACTTTATTTGGTTTTTATCTTATATCTTTTTTATATTATCAGCAAGTTTGGTTGGTTAGGTTAGGTTATGACAGTTTAATTTTATAATTAAAAAGTTAATTTTATTACTAAAAATTATAAAATCAATTGAAATTTTCGACTTAGCGGTTCTAGTGGCGAACGCTGGCTGACACTATGTTAAGCCATCGTCCCTCCCGTGTGTCCCACCGCCACTTGACACAACATGACACTTCCCTTCCCTCCCTTCTGCCTCTGGCTTTGATCCTAGAGCAGAGCATTACGTTGTATTATTGCACTCTTTTAGTTGTATACGTATACCGTATCGGTATCGTATTGGCATTGTTTTGATGATTCATGATTGTTGATAAGTATATGATTACGAGTGCTTTAAGTTTAATTTATAATTAGCACATTTAAGAAGAAAGTAAAAGCTGAATGAACGAGTAAAACATCTTGCGAGCCGATACTAAGGAAACAGTGGCAGAAAAAAAGAAACCGTCTGGCACTTATTATAGAAAGCGTAAGGCGAATTTGGAAGAGGAAGATAAAAAACAAGCCAAATCAATGAGTAGATTTTTGTTTAAATCATCTGGTGGCGACCCCATTCAGCCCAAAGAAGTCACGATAGAAGACGGCAATGATTTAGGTATTTATTTATTTATTTTCCAAGGAAAGTTTAACACAAGCAGCTGATCACAAACGGCAAACATTACGTCATTGCCGTCTTCTATCGTGACGTCATGCTTGATGAGCATTAAAGCCTGTTTTTTTTTGTGTGGCCTTGGTTTTGGTAAAGTTTATATGATAAGTAAAAATGTTAAATTTCTGCGAATAATAAACAGCCTTTAATTGCAAGTATTCTTCTAACCTAAACTTATTGAAAAATTCTTCCCAAAATTATTGGGGAAAAAATCACAAATACGGTTAAGTTATGTTCATGGTTTGGGGGGGGGGGGAATTCTAAGTGGCGCTGATTCGGGTGTTCGCTTAACTCTGAAAAATTCCTAGAACCGGCCCTGCAACCAAACTTGCTGATAATGAAAAAAAATCGAACGAAGGTTTACTAATATAAAAAAAGTTCTAAAATTATAATAGCTCAAATTGAATTTTATAATGTTTTAATTAACAAATTAAACTGTCATAACCTTACCAAACTAACCAAACTTGCTGATAATGCAAAAATCTTAGACAAAAAGTTAGTGCTACCGAGAAGATTCGAACCTGGTACCTTCAGATCCTCAGCCCGGCACGTTATCCATTAGACCACCGAGGCCGGTGGCTACAAACCGTATCGTTGCGGTAATGGTGTTCCCTCAGCCAATAGAATACTTTGCTTCCCCCACTCCGCAGTGCCAGGGGACAACATCGTGATGATTTAGCGAAGGTTTAGACTCTAGTGTTAAGGTCGATTCACACACATCAGTTACGGCACGTCACAGTGAAGAATATTCTTTAATGGATTTTCTATTGCACTATCTACCCTCATCCGTTGCAGTCCCGTCAGTCACTCTGCTGGCATCCGTCAGTCAATTTAAGATTTCTTTCCAACGATACTTTTAGATTGTTCGGACGCCTGACGGAACTGTTTGAGGTTAGAAAATAGTGTTATTGCTATTTAAATGGTTGCATTTGTATTTTGAGTACTGTTTGTAACAATCAACAATATGGACAATGATAATTTGATAGAATTTAGGTTTATAACTTTAAAATTTTGACTATAAATTACTGTGAATTTTAGAGACGGAAGACTGACAACCGACAGACAATTGACTGAGAAATTGCGGATGCAACTGTGACTGGACTGTAACTGGACTGCAACTGGACTGTAACGGAACTGTGACTGGACTGATGTGTGTGAATCGACCTTAAAGGAGGGTCCCCATACACGCAACGATTCGCCTGCCGGCCGGACTGAGTCTTCCCTGGAGGAGGTGATAGCGTATGCTGCTAATTTAGCAGCTTTGTAGAAAAGGAAAAAAGAACAAAAGGGGGTTGTGGCATATAGAGTGGCTTAACAGAACAGCACCAACCGATGTCAATTTATTGGAAGAATTTAGATTGTCACTGTCACTGAACAATACAAAACACTATATATTTTGGGACAACACAAAGACTGAGCAGAAAATAAAGTTAGTTTATGTCAATGGCCGTGCCTAACCTCAAAATTAACGTGAATCAAAATAATGCTACTACTATTGGCCTTCCGGCGGCCTGCCGGCGACCCCATACACGTACCGATCGGCCTGAAGGCGGGGTTGGCCGGCGGCCGGACGACGACCCCATACACGTAACGATCGGCCGGCCGGCGTGGACTGTTCAGGCCGGGCCGATCGCTCCGTGTATGGGGGTGGGCCTAAGTGTAAAGTAAAAAAATCACAACTGCAGTGGGTGATTGTAACAGAGGTTTACGGATGATGCTAAACTCGCTTTTCCAATAATGTGTCACTTTCTGTTTCTACTTACCTGTAATGCAATCGCTGGACCGCTGGAGGGCTGGACCATACAGCCAATAGGCCCATAGCCCATCTCTTGAGTACCTACGCCTACCTATTTATTCATCTAACAACCTTTTCGACGACGATCCTTGGTACCAGTACTTTTCCATAGAATACATGGCCTACCTACTTAAGAAATAAAATTACAAATGTCCAAAAAACATTGTGTGATTTTTGTCACATTCAACTGACTACTAAGATCCGTACGTAGAACGGGCACTCAGCTAGTTATATAATAAGGATGTTCACTCTTACATATGACCAGAAATCGCTCAAATGTACATATAAGTAGTAATAGATTAAGTAAATCACAAAACTGTTTTCCTGTTACAGGTATTAGGTTTTTCAATGCTCTTCCTGGTATTGTCCGTTCCCAGAGGAGATCAAAATTTGTATCCATTGTGAAAAATTGGCTTGAGTTGAACCCATATTACAAGTGGATTATTTTATATGTTATATTTTTTCAGGAAAAGACTGAAATATTATTTTTAGTTCAATATTTTATGTAAAGCCTATTGCAAATAACTTATAATGGCCGAAATAAATCTTGAATCTTGAATCTATGTGCTTGTGTGTGTGTCCGTGACACATTAACTCAGGTAATTGGGGTCTGATTTTGATTAAATTTGGCATTAAAAAATAAAAAGTAGAGCTAGATAAACTTGAATGAGTTCGAGAACCAACAAGATTGAGTCATAGGAACAGAGTTTAATGAGTTTTAAAAATTCCAAAAATAGTTTTTTCCAAATTTGTACTTTTAAAGGCCTTAATAGGCCTAAATGGCGAATTTTCATTTTTTTATTTTTGTACATTGAAGTGTTATTTTACAATTAAAGGTTTTTTTACTTCGAGTTGAACAATAGGCAAATGATATAAATAATAATAGAACATTAACTTGAAGAACATGAGCTAGTGATTGACCACTGTCAACACTAGCTAACAAAGAGAATTTTGATAACACTTAGCCGAATCTGAATGGAAGGTACAATTAAAGGTAATGGAGAAAATTCAATGAAAACTGTTGTAGTTTGCCACTTAAAACACATATTAATATACTACAAATACAGTATCTACGAAGTAAAAGGTCAGGGACATTAAAACGTACGTTTCAAAATGTTCACTCTAAGTATATTACCATAAGTAGGCCTATATTACTACCTTGAAATTTCAACTTGGTCTTTGGCCAAACCCCTGGGGAAGATTCCGAAAAGTCTCATTTTCAAAAATTGTTTCCCCCAAAAATTGTTATTTCCCCACATGTAGTTCTTATAGGGAATAAGCTCAGATCTATTAAGGCACCACCACCCACCCACCCTATAGGGCCTGGTGGCAGAGCCCCCAGTGAGCCAAAGGTGACTAGGCGTGTATACACTATACACTACCATTCTCAAAACAGAGATCATTTGATATACAGAGATGTATCAAAATATATATCTGGTTATACTGTATATGCATACACACACTCAAAATTTACTTTTTTAATTGTTGTAATGTTAATTACTAAATTTTATATGTTACCTTACCAGAACAGCAACAAAATAGAAGTTTGAAAACTGCCAAAATCTGTTTTACTGCACTTAAAAATTCCAGTGGAATAAGTAGGTAAGCTATTTTAATAGGAAAGGTTATGTACTACCGTATGGGTGACTGATGTCAACAAATACAAGTAGCTGCCGCTGCTATCCTGGGCCACAAGTCCGCACACTCCTTTGACACTGGTCCTGTGATAGTGCTGCCCTTCAACTCTCCCTTGTTGTTGACAATCACTCCTGCGTTGTCCTCAAAGTATATGACTGTGCCGTCCTTCCTGCGGAAGGGCTTACGTTGCCGAATAACTACTGCAAGGTTTACTTTCTTCCGCAGCTCGGGTTTGCCGCTCTTCACAGTGGTGATGATCATGTCTCCTGTCCCAGCAGCTGGCAGCCTGTTGAGTCGTCCCTTTACACCCTGCACTGCTATCACATATAGGTTCTTGGCTCCTGTGTTGTCAGCACAATTAATCACAGAACCTACAGGCAATGCAAGAGATATTCTGAACTTTCCTCCAGATCCACCGCCGTGTGCCCTTTTTGACATTTTCAGTTGTCACCTATTATATCGACTACAGACTCGATAGTTTCCACAACAAAGACGTACAAGCGCGGAATGTTATTTACCGCTTTGTCTACGTAGGAAAAAAATACCCATATTAAGAAAATTATTGTAAAATCATCCCTCCAGCTGTCCCTGAAATAGAAATTGAACACACTGCTTATCCAAAAGCCTATTACCATTTAGATAAACAGTCAACCACATCGCTTATGGAAATAAGCTATCATATTCATATAAACCATCTCTTGGTATCTAAATTTGACATTATAAATGTCTATAGATAACTATTGTTCATATTAAGTATCACTTCATTGATGATTACTAATATTTATTCATGGGGGAAACAAATAGAAAGAAGGATACATAAGGGAATCTTTCCCCTTTATACTAGATTATTTATGTACTTAGGCATATCCAGCTTTATTTAGCTTGGATCCTGAGGAGGCTGGTAGTAGCCTGATGCTTTTTTTTCATTTAATGTCAGTAGTTTTCCTTACTAGGGCAAAACCAAATTGGTCTGAACAAATACTAGTAAAATACTCTGTTTCTTTTCCAAAGATTTTAGTGTTTTCCCAATCTATAAGTATATAAGAGGATGTTTATATATATATATATATATTTGGCAGTGATAAACTCAGACACCGCTGAACCGATTGCCACGAAACTTGGTACATACGTGTAGAATTTCATGGAATAGGTTTATACACCATCAATTTCGTGATCCGTCCAATCGGCTCCGCCCCAGTGGCTCTGGAGTTTCCCATGTTAACCTTATGAGAAATGGAATTAATGAATCTTAACAGCTGTTTCAATTAAACAAGTTGGTTCTGTTCTATGATGTTCAATAGCATTTAAGTTACAAGGATTACCAACAGGGTGCAGCACTATTATTTCTTTTACATTTATGACAACAGCTAATTTGCAACCAAAAGGTGAGTGAGCGTAGCGAACGAACTTCAACCTGGAGGCGAGTTAGCGTAGCGAACGAGCTAACCTGAAGGCAAGTGAGCGTAGCGAACGAGATAACCTGAAGGCAAGTGAGCGCAGTGAACAAGCTCCAACCTAAAAGTGAGTGAGCGTAGCGAACGAGCTTCAACCTAAAGGTGAGTGAGCGTAGCGAACGAACTTCAACCAGGACGTGATTGAGCCATGCGAACGAGATCATCTTGAAAATTAAGAAGTTAAACGGGGCAAAGCCCGCGGGTTACAGCTAGTAAATTATATATCTACTAGGTGGCGTTCGTAGAGGCATCCACAAAATTGAGCGGAGTCATCAAGGGTTTATATTATATTGTTTTGGTCCAGTCGTTTTTAATGCATGCGTTGCGGGTCTAAGGTGCATTTTTACTCTTTAGGAAGTAAAAATAGTTTTTATCCTCTATGGAGTAAAAATCACCTGTTGTCAACTCAGTTGTAAATTTCTATTGTAAACGATTGTATGTATCGAAATATGTATCGATTCATGCTTCAAAATTATTTTACCCTACAGTCTACAGTCTCTTCCCATAGCGTTTTAGCATTGCAGATACATTAATCCATTCCCACACTCAACACGCTCACCTTTACTACTTCCTTCACCACCCCCTACGTCGTGGACCTATTTCCCTCTCTACCCATAGCATTTTAAGATTGCAGATACATTAATGTAATTGCCAAAGACAGTTCCCACACTCTGCACTGCAAGCCTTACTACTTCCTTCACCATTTCCTACGTCATAGACTTGTTTCCTTCCCTTCTCATAGCATTTTTGGATCAAAGATACATCAATCTAACTGCCACAGACGGTTTTCACACTATGCTCATACTTTACTACTTTCTAAGCCATTTCCTACATCGTGGACCTGTTTTCATCACTTTCCATAGCAATTTAGTATTTTAGATACGTTAATCTAATTGCCACAAACATTCCCCACACTAGTAGCCTTTACTACTTCTTTCGCCATTTTCTATGTCGTGGGGATGCTTCCATCCCTTCTCATAGCATTTCAGCATTGCAGATACATTAATCTAACTGCTACAAACGGTTTCCAGTTCCCACACTCCACACTGCTCACCTTACTACTTCCTTCACCTCTTCTTACGACGAGGACCTGTTTCCCTCTCTTCTCATAGAATTTTAAGATTGTAGATAACTTAATCTAATCGTCATAAACAGATCCCAAACTCCAGACTGGTCGCATTTACTACTTCCTTCAGCACTTCCTACGTCATGGACATGTTTACCTCCCTTCCCATAGCATTTTATGATTGTAGATACCTTAATCTAATTGTCATAAACAGTTCCCACACTCCAGACTGCTCGCCTTTACTACTTCCTTCACCACTTCCTACGTCACGGACCTGTTTCCCTCCCTTCCAATAGCATCATAGGATTACAAATACCTTAATATAATGGTCATAAGCAGTTCCCACACTCCGGACAGCTCGCCTATACTACTTCCTTCATCACTTCCTACGTCACGGACCTGTTTACCTCCCTTCCCATAGCATTTTAGGATTGCAGATACCTTGATCTTCATAAACAGTTCCCACACTCCGGTTAGCTTGCCTTGACTACTTCCTTCACCACTTCCTACATTGTGGACCTGTTATCCTCCCTTTCCACAGCATTTTATGATTGCACATACCTTAATCTAATCGTCATAAACAGTTCCCACACTCCGGACTGCTCGCCTTTACTACTTCCTTCATAACTTCCTACGTCGAGGACCTGTGTTCCTCCCTTCCCATAGCATTTTATGATTGCAGATACCTTATTCTAACCGTTATAAACAGTTCCCACACTCCGGACTGCTCGCCTTTACAACTTCCTTTCCTTCACCACTTCCTACGTCGCGGACCTGTTTCCCTCCCTTCCTATAGTATCATAGGATTGCAAATACCTTAATATAATCGTCATAAACAGTTCCCACACTCCGGACTGCTCGCCTTTACTACTTCCTTCGCCACTTCTTACGCCACGGACCTGTTTCCCTCCCTTTCCATAGCATTTTATGATTGCAGATACCTTAATCTAATCTCATGGTGGAATGGCCTCCGGATCGTCTGAATTAACTATATAGTGGTTTAAATTACCTTGTTACTGTCAAAACGATCCTTTGTAATACAAAGGATCGTTTTGACAGTAACAAGGTAATTTAAACCACTATATAGTTAATCTAATCGTCATAAACAGTTCCCACACTCCGGACTGCTCGCCTTTACTACTTCCTTCACCACTTCCTTTGTCACGGACCTGTTTCTCTCCCTTCCCATAGCATCATATAGGATTGCAAATACCTTAATATCATGGTCATAAGCAGTTCCCACACTCCGGACAGCTCGCCTATACTACTTCCTTCATCACTTCCTACGTCACAGACCTGTTTCCCTCCCTTCCCATAGCATCATAGGATTGCAAATACCTTAATATAATGGTCATAAGCAGTTCCCACACTCCGGACAGCTCGCCTTGACTACTTCCTTCATCACTTCCTACGTCGCGGACCCGTTTTCCTCCCTTCCCTTATAATTTTTGGAATGCAGATACCTAAATCTAATCGTCATAAACAGTTTCCACACTCCAGACTGCTCACCTTTAGTAAATACTTTAGCACTTCCTACGTCACTGACCTCAAGCTAGTGTCGTCATTTGATTATATTAAGATTAATACCGTTTCTGTTCTAATATCTGTGGAATAATGCTATCAGCTATTTCTTTATCTACTGCATTCAAAAGTCAACAGCTGATCATATGTCTTTATGTGTCAAATACTGCTTCCATAAGGATTACATTGAAACTTTGAGACCCAGTGGGGCGGATTCCTGAGAGTTATTTTTAACGCCATATAGATGTTGGCACTCACCGATATGGTCTTTATCACCATCCAAAATTTGAAAACGATTGATTTAGCCGTCTAGGAGGAGTTTGCGTATTACGAAATGCATAAAAGTCGACGTATAAGAGCTTCGCTCAATAAAAGAGGAACTATGTATGAATGTATACATACTGTATATGTATATACGTTATGGACTCCAAAACCGCTTGTTAGATTGTAATAAAACTTTCAGGCATTATTAAGCATCTTTCAAGGATGGTTCGAGTGAAGTTTGGTGCAGATCCGTCAAATGAGCTCTGCCCCAGAGGATTTTAAGTGGGCCAATGTCAGATTTTTTTATCTACAATGTTTACAAATAAATATAAAGCAGATGTTTACTTTCACCAACTGTTTTGTAGGTTTGAATAATCACAACATTCTGTAGGGTATTAGCTTTAGTCATGATTTGAAATAGTGCCATAATGTTTCTACATAGTGCAGCACAGAAAACTATTTTACTTTTGAACGAGCGGTTTGGCCCGTCCTACGTACGGGATCGAGTAGTCTATTAAAACTGTATATGATTCAGAACAGCTAGTTTACAACTTGGTGGCCGATTCACACACACTGCTTTCATTACAGCAGCTACATACCACCTTCCACTGCATAGGCCTACTATCACTTACCTACCTTATTTTACCACCTTGGCCACTGAAACCTCTAAAATGATCCTGGCCGCCCGTTCTCTTCTATCCCTTGCCATTTCTAAGGAAGATACCAGTCTGAAGATGTCTTTCATTACTTGGTCTTCCAAGTGGTCTTCTACCTTGTAGTACTCCTTGGAATACACTTTTAAAAGTTTAAGTATCTTCTCTCCGCCATGCAAAGCCTGCCCAGCCCATCCGAGATCTGAGACTTTTGGAATGTACCCCTTTATCAAGTTTCTGAATCATCAGTACTACTGGGATAGTTATTATATTGTATGAATCGATTTTGGTTTCTACTGACACCCTGCAGCTTACTGGTCAGTTTTCTGGATACCTACTACACCGGTTGACATTTTCATGTGTACTGTATGCAGTCATACTTATATTCAAAAATCTAGAAAAAGATGTATCAACACGTAAACCACTTATATCTTAAAGGATTGAGCACTTATACTTAGACGGATTGCATTTATAACAAAACTTTATTATACGTTTAAAATGTTAAGTTCAAAATTACACAATCTCCTGATAACATAGATCTTTTACGGTAGGTAATAAACTGCATTTTAAAGTGAAATAGAGTGTAGGCAAACTCTGGACCAATAGTTTTGTATACAAACTTCTTGTGACATAAACATTTCAATGACAGTTAGAAACCAGCTGTTAGTTAA